GGGAACGTGTATGGAAACAGTCCTGCAATGGCAGACGGCGTTCAGACCACTAGAAAAACCCCGCCAGGGCCGTCTCCTGGGTGGCATTAACTCAGGACTTGCTGGTTACTGTGTTCAGATCAATCTAAGCAAACTGCTGGTTTGTCCAAAGTGACTATTTTCGGATGTGTTTTTGCATAAATATTTCAAAGCTCGATTCCCAAGGCTTCCCAGATGACAGTCTGCAGTGCATTTACAGAGAGCTCCTTAGGTATACAGTGCTGACTGCTCTCTTCTAGCTGCTCTGCTGAACTCCAGCAATTCAGATAACACTGATAATTCCCGACAGTAGACACAGGACACTCACAGGAATCAAGTAAAACCACCTTTGTTTTTAGGCTCTGTAGTCTGGCATCTAACAGCCGCTAGTAGATATTTTTCAAAACAATAACATATTTCCTTGATTCTTCCACAAAACTTCTAAATTACACTAAGTTAAACCACTGAGCTGCTCTAACACCCCCAGTTTTCTTAGAACCAGACATTTTTGATCTATCAAACCAGTACTGTTCACCTAGGCTGGCTCTGTCGAGCTAACTACAATATGGGCAGCAGCACCAAGTGCAGTATACCACACTGGAGCTGTAAATGGAACTGCCCTGATGATACAAGGCACAAGAACAACATTGCACTGCTGTTCATAAACTGTTTCAAAGTCCTATTCAGCATCTCTAGGTAGACAGGACAACTTTTGAGGCTAGCTTGGGTACCTTTATTATGAATCCAGGATTCAACAACACAGACCAGCCTTTTTCACAATCCTCTGCAGAGACCAGTGCTTTCAATGCCATGAAAGCTTTTGCTTGCGTTACCCTGCACAAAATGCAACTGAATCAAGATTAGAAATACTAGACATGCTTATAAAGGCAAAGGCTAACTGACCTCAAGTATGCATGACAACTAACCCTTTTAAAGAAAAATTCTCAGAATACACAGGTTTCACTGGGAGTACAAAACCCAATTAAAAGTTTTCCTGGAGAGTCTTCAGATTTACAGCATTGCTGGTTTTTTCATCATCAAAGTACTCAAAGGCACTCAGAATGTGAACAGTATAAGAACTACCTGCTTTATCTCTGTCAAAATTTGTTTTCTATAGTATGGCTATATCAGCTTCTGTGTGATAAAATATTTTAAACATTTAAATTCAGTTTCATTAGTATTAAGCTATTACTTTAAAATACAACACTTGATTTCAGCACTGAAATTTAGATTTGCAACAGCGGAAAATCTCCTACACTTATGATGGCAAAATGCATAACTAAAAGGACAATCGTCATGTGAAGTTTCTTAAAACAAGCAAACAACTCTTGCAATAGTTTTCCAGAATAACCTTGGAAAATCAACTCCTGCCTTGATTTGTCTGAAGCCTTTACAGTAATTCTTCACTTCCAGCAGCCAAATGGTATCTGTTCAAAAGTACTCAGAAAAAGTATATTCTTGCTAGAGAAAAAAAGGAAGTATAATCCTAGTGCTGTAACACACCAAGGTCACGTCAGTACCTCCAAAAATAAAAAGACAATTTTCTGACAATTTGTATTTCTGAAAAGAAAGGACATGCACTTTCATATGGCAGATGTGATTAAGCTGAATGAATAGCTCTAAGGTTAACGGTCACAGAAATTCTGCTACAGCACACATACTGTTCTAAATAATTTCATTGTTTTCAAATGCAATTTATTCAAAAAGCTAAATCCACTCATCTGTAGCTAAATAATGCAAAATAACAGTATACCTTAATGAAAACACCTCTAACGAAGAGCTGTATAATGACAGATGCTCCCTATCTCCAAGCTCACAGAGCTTAACACCAGGAGTATAAATTGTCTCCTGTGACCAGATGACAGCAACTGACTCGAGGGCATTTGACAGGACTCACCAACAAAATTCCCAGTCAGTTTAGCTGAAAAACTAGCTTAGACAAAACCTTTTCACTTGTTCAGTTTCTGTGGTTGCCAAGCATTTTACCATTATCTCGTGTGCTCCTGGAGAGTTCTCTGGTGAACTGTCTTCCCAAGAACAAGCAAGGTCTGAGCCTGTTTTGCCTTCCAGCTGAGCAAATTCAGCCCACTGCAGCCTGTCGTACTGCCACCTCTTCCATCACATAGTATTGTGAAGTATTTGGAGCAGAAAAATCAGGAAGCGAGGTCAACCAAATTGATCTAACACTTCATTATCTACTCTGTCCTCGTAATGGAAGCCGATTCTCATCTGATCAACAGTTCAGAAAAGAAGGAATGCTAATTATCTCTTACCTTGCTCAATAGTCAAAGATGACCTGGTGCCTGTGCTTCATCTTTGAACAGTGTTTCCAACTTCAATTTGGTTGGACAGAATTATCGCTGTTGGTCTTGGTTTTATTTGACTGTTAATGGAAACATTTTCAATCCTGAGACTTTTCAAGTCTCATTCTACAATTCCTGCTTTTCCATCTCAAAACCAGTCTTTTTTTTGGGTGGGTTGCCAGAAGCAATATTCTTCTTCCTTGTCATAATCAAGGTTAAAGTGTTACTACTGTGGCTTTAAAGTCTTCACTGTTTTGAAAGGTGTAGTCCTTTCTGGGGTAGTCATTTCAGGGTCAAATTCTAAGAGGAGAGTCTCAGAAAGGACAGATGGACCGCAACGAATCTATGCCTGCAATTCCAGAGGAAAAACACAGCAATCCACAGATACTTTTAAAAAACCACCACACTTGCAGTTTCATTATTCACTTCTCCAGTTCTTGATGAAAACTGGGGGGGGTTTATGCTTTTCCTGGAAGATTTACCTCTTACAAGTTACTTCTCTTCCACCTTGTTTCTTGTGTCATGCTTGCCAACAGTACCTAAAACGGATCTCCATGACTCAGATTTCTTCATGGAAGCCAGTTTCTGGTCCCACACAGCCAGAACATAGCAGTTTATTTTAAATAAACTGATAGCTACATTTAACACTGAGTACAATACATTGCCTTGAAACTGAAATTATCAGGTAGGGCAAAGAGCCTTACAAAGATTGGTTTGCTTTGAAGCATCACGCCACTCCACCATTTCAGCTAAATGGGGATTAATACAGGAAATGGAGATGCAGGAGATGTGCAAAAAGGTTCCTGAGTCAGTCTGGTGCCTGATAGAAGTTATCTTTGGGGAGGTCTAGCAACTATAAAGGAAGCACAAAAGTACCTGGAATGTAACTTTTTCCACAGACACTTCTTAGCATTCACCACGTATCTGTTAAATGCAAATGGCTGTAACGGAGTAGGTTGCGACTGGTAGACCCAGGCATTTCCCAGGCTAGTCACTCAGGCTGCCGAGACTGTTAGCTTCATTACAGAAAACAACTGTAAGGCTCCCGAGTCGAAAGCAGCCTTCCTTGACACAAGAAGCTGTGAACTAGCTGCATGCCTTTGTAAAGACTGGAGAACAAATAATCACTTTGATACAAATTGGGTTAAGATATATATACTGTGTGTGTACCTTAAAAACAGTAAGATGGCCTATCCTATGCTTCGCTCACTGGCTGTTTGTGGCAGCTGGGAAAAGAATGGTAACAATCACATTCAGCAACTTCTGGAGGTAATTTTAATATCAAATGTATCAACATTCTTATAGCACATATCTAACAAATTACAAAGGCAATCCTTTAATGTTATAAAACCAATTTAGAAAAGTTTATACATGACTTTTGCTTTTAAATATCTATAAACCAGTCAACCTAAAAAAGAAAAAAATCACTTTATGATAAAAACTAACTTTATCATAAGAAAAAGCCCCAACTATTTGTCATAAGGGAACAGTGGAAATATGCGTCAATTAAAAAGGTATAGAGGAAGGGCACACATTTCTGCATTTTATCTTTCATCTGTCTTACAATAAATACACAGGTATTATCCCTGTAAGTAATGCTGATGTTATTTAGGTGATGAAAGCCATACAAAACACACACAGTAATTGCACTAGGCTGCTCACAGCTATACAGAAGGTAACTGTGATCAGCAAATTGTTTTGTTTTAAAATTGCCTCTCTTATCCAGAAAGAATGCTTCCTGGTTTCAGAAACAATGGTGGGGGACTTTTGGGGATGACTGTACAGACCCTGAAGCAGTAACTGGGTTTTCCAAATGCTAGATTTCAGAGTTGTCTTAAAGGAATGGGCCCTGAGAGTTCTGCAGTGCCATAAAAACACTCACATCTTTGGGTTGCCCTCAATTATGATTTTAACTTGCTAGCCTACTTCCAGCTTTAAGAGCTCTGGTTTTGTAGATAATGTTTATGACCCAGGTAGCTTTGGTGGTTACCTGACACATGGTCCTTCTGAAGGGTGAGATGACACTTAAGTTTACTTAAAGTGGGAAACAGGAGAAAGCATCCTCTTAAAATAGTCACCTTCTATCGTGCAGAAACTACAGAAAAAAGTGTGCACATGTCAAAATATTATTGAAGTTTCACGTTATCTCTGTTTGAGGAAAAACTACATAAATACATATTAAGACAACAATAAACTTGTGCTAGTTCATCAAATCAAGTCTGAGTTCAAACACTCAAATATTAGGGCATCTTTACTTCTCCTGAGCAAAGTATAAATCCTGTTTGTCTTGTATGTAATTTACATACCTTAAAGACATATATAACAATGGCCTTTTTGAATTATTTTTCACTATAACACCTCAAACTTTTGAGGTTGTTGAGCCACAACCTGCTTGCCTTTCTAATGCAAGTGCTGCCATAAGATTTGCAGGTATAACTCCCCAAAATAAGGCAAATATGATAAAAAAATCTACTGCCTACATGTATTGTATTGGCTGAGAGCAAGAATTCTTCTATAATCTGGTAAGAAAAAAAAAAAATCAAAAAATCCTTTAAAAAAAACCCACTCAACTTTAAAAGATTTCAACAGTCACACTCAAGCAGATGTCTTCCATGTATGGAAATAAATTTTTATGATGAAAGTGCTAGGGAGGGACAAAAATAAAAGTTAAAAAGTCAAAACTCAGCAGCCTCAAATCTTGGCAGAATTTTCTGACACATGCAGACTACTTCTGTACATAATCAGAAACAAAACAAAAAATACATCTCTAAAGAGAGTCAATATTAGATCCTTAAAACAATACATAGTATTCATTTTATCTGTATGAGCTGCAAAATCAAGAGAGACACAGTATAGGGTCAAAAATCTTGCCTTCAGGCCTGACTCCTATATGATCATCCATGTTTATATGGAATTGTAAAGAACAGGCTCCAAAAGATGAAAATATTTTTCCATCCTTGTGGCGCATACCTGTATGCAGCTTTCATATTCAAAGTAAAGAACCAATTATCAATCAGTATGTATTACCCTTAACTTACATATTTACACTTTTATCTACAACTTTCTCCTTATACCCCACAACTTCATTCTATGAAAAAGGAAATGCAAATAAAAAAAGTCTTTAAATAAATACACAATGAACAAAGAAAATACTTCCGTTGGGGTTGATTGGTTTTTTTTTTTTCCTTCATTGCAAGGCAGAAAGAGTCCAAACGCTGCTAAGCAGAGTTCCAGTTAATTTATACAGCAATGTTCTTTGCCAGGTCTGGCATATTAGATTTATTAGCTGCTGCTGCCACTATGCTGTTGAAAGTGCAGTTGCAAGATCAGGTCTCGAATTTCTTCTCTTTTGCTTCTGATCAGTTGACGAGGGAACCACTTCTCCAGCTGCAGAGGCTGTTCAAAGTTAACTATGGGATTCTGGTAACAGAAAAAGAATATTTACAGCATGAATTGCCTAAAGCAACCTTCAAAAAGAATTTCAAACCCTTCCATTACTGCTGAGACCAAGGAGGCACGAACAAGCTTCCGTGAGAGCATGACAGGCTTCAAAGTCAAATTCCAGCTCCTCCATGGTAATCACATATATACATACCCTTACCACAAGCTACTCGTTGTAAACACCAAACAGGTTATCATGACATCGCTTAAGCACATATTCAAGGCAGATTCCATGTACTATGATACGATTAGACATACTCCTGATATCTAACAAGGGACAGATGCACTTCAGTCACAAAACACACGTGTACAATCACACTATAGGGAAGGATCAAGCATACAGCAGTTAAGCATGATGAGGTTTTGTTGCCTCATGGCATGTGTTTTTCTGTCATGAGCTGGTTGGTCTGATAGCAGTTTTAGCAGGACATGAGAGGGGGAGAATTCAGAACAAAAGAGGATAGCAAATTTAAACGGCTGAGACATGCTGGCAGCTTCGGCAGTAAGGCTACAACACCACATCTGATTTGCCAAAGTCAGTATTTTTCTTCTTTCCCTCTTCATTCTTTTGCCATGCTTATATTTCACCTTCTCCTTCCTTTGAATAAAGTAGCAGCTGATAAATTAAAAAAGCAAAGCAAAAAACACATCATGATTTATGGTCTATGAGCCCTGGTATGTTTAGGACAAATTACAACCTCCTTGTCCTGGCCTTGCTTCTGCAAGCAGAACATGACCCCATTGTTAGAGAATGGGCAGTTCAAAAGTGTTGGTAAAGAATTTCATTCTCCTCCTACACAAGAGCTCAACTCATCTATCACAGAACAGTTGAGGATTGAAGGAACTTCTGGTGGTGATCTGGTCCAACCCCCCTGCTCAAGCAGGGCCACCTAGAACCAGCTGCCAGGACTACATCCAGACAGCTTTTGAATATCTTCAAGTATATCCAGGATATCTCTCTGAGCAAAATGTACCAGCATCTGGTCACCCTCACAGGAAAAAAAAACAAACCCAAACCACACTTCCTTACATTCAGAGGGAACCTCCTGTGTTCCAGTTTGCATCCACTGCCTCTGGTGCTGTCACTGGGCACCTCTGAAAAGAGAGGGCTCTGTCCATTTTGCACCCTCCCTTCAGATATTTGCACACATTGATAGGATCCTCCCTGAGCCTTCTTTCAGAGTCCCAGCGCTCTCAGCCTTTCCTCACAGGAGAGATGCTCCAGTACTTCAATCATCTTTGTAACCCTTTGCTGGGTTTGCTCCAATAGTGCCATCCCTCTCTTGTACTGAGGAGACCAGAACTGGACACAGCACTGAGGAGAGAAGAAGGATCACCTCCCTCAAACTGTTGGCAACATTTGTCCTAACATAGACCAGGATACCGCTATCCTTCTTTGCTGCAAGGACACACTGCTGGCACATGTTCAGTTCAACTTGGTGGCCCACCAGGACCCTTAGGTCCCTTTCAGCAAAGCTTCTTTCCAGCTGGGTGACCCACAGCATATATTGGTGCCTGAGGTTGTTACTCCCTGGGTGCAGGACTCTACACTTCCTGTTGAACTTCACGAGGTTCCTGTCAGCCCCTTCTCCAGCATCTCGAGGTCCCTCTGGGATGGCAGCACAACCCTCTGGTGTATCAACCCCTCCTCCCAGTTCTGTGTCATCTGTGAACTTGCTGAGGGTATCCAGATCATTAATGAAGACGTTAAACAGAACTGAACCCAGTATTGATTCCTGGGGTACACTGCCAGTTACTGGCCTCCAACTAGACTGCCTGCCACCGATCACCACACTCAGGACCCATCCAGTCAGCCAGTTTTCAATCCAACTCACTGTCTGTTCATCCAGCCCATATTCCATCAGCTTCTCTATGAGGATCTTAAAGGAAATGGCATCAAAAGCCTCACTGAAGCCCAGGCAGACAGTATCAACCACTCTCCCCTCATCTATCAAGACAGTCATTTCACCATAGAAGGTTATCACATTGGTCAAGCATGACTCCCACCCTGCCTTTGTGAATCCATGCTGACTACTCCTAATCATCTTATCCTTTATAAGTCTGCAAATCATTTCCAGGATTAGTTGCTCCACCACATTCCCAGGGATCGAGGTGAGGCTGACCAGCCTGTTGCTCCCCACGTCCTCCTTCCTGCCTTTCTGAAGATAGGAGTGATATTTGCTTTCCTCCAGTCCTCTCCTGATTGCCACAACCATTCAAAAATTATCAAGAGCAGCCTCACAATAGTATCAGCCAGCTCCTTCAGCACTCATGGGAGCATTACACTAAGGCCCATGGACTTATGAATGTCCAGTTTTAAGTATTCCCTAGCCTTATCCTTTTCCCCCAGTGGTATGTCTTTCTTGCTCCAGTCTTTTCCCCAGTCTCCCGGGCCTGTGACTCCTGAAAGCCAGTCTTGCTACTAAAGAGTGAGACGAAGAAGTCATTCAGAAGCTCAGTCTTCTCCATGTCCTGTGTCACCAGGGCCCCTGCCCCATTCAGCAGTCAGTCCACATCTTCCCTGCTATTCCTTTTGCTGCTTACACAATTATAGAAGCCCTTCTTGTTGCCTTTGACATCTCTCACCAGATTAAACTCCAGTTGGTTTTGGCTTTCTGAATTACATTTTCTGCATGCTCGAACAGTTTCTATATATTCCTCCCAGGTTACTTGTCCCTGCTTCTGTCTTCTGTATACTTCCTTTTTATGTTTGAGCTTTGCCAGGAGCTGCTACTCCAACCATGCAGGCCTCCTAGCATCTTTGCTTAACTTCCTGCTTGTTTGGATGAACTGTTCTTTAGCTTGGAGGTGGTGTTCCTTGAATATCAACCAGTCTTCTTGGACCACTCTTCCCTCCCGGGCCTTACCCCATGGAACTCTTTCAAGTATACCCCTGAAGAGGACAGAGTCCAGGCTTGTGACCTTGCTTTTTGCCCTGCTCCTTCCTCTCATGATCCTGAACTCCATCATCTTATGGCCACTGCAGTCAAGGCTGCCTTTGACCTTTACACCCCCAACCAGACCTTTCTTTCGAGTATGCTGTCCAGCAGAGCACCTCTCCTCACTGACTCCTATATCACTTGGGTCAGGAAGCTGTCGTTGATGCTTTCCAGGAACCTCCTGGATTATTTATGTCCTTCTGTGTTGTCCCTCCAGCAGATGTCAGGGTGGTTAAAGTCCCCACATGGACCAGGGCCTGTAAATGTGACGCTGTTTCTAGCTGTCCATAGGAGGACTCATCCACCTATTCCTTCAGCAGATGCCCGCTATTACGTCACCCATATTAGTCTGCACCCGTAAGCTCTCAGTTGGCTCCTCATCCAGCCCATGCATTCCAGCTGCTCTTTCACATAACGGGTAACTCTACCTCCTTATCTTCCCAGCCTGTCCTTCCTAAAGAGCCTGTATCCATCCATCACAGCACTCCAGTCATGTGAGCTATCCCACCATATCCCTGTGATCTCAACAAGATTATAGCCCTGCAACTGCACACAGATCTCCAATTCTTCACATTTATTCCCCACACTGTGTGAATTAGTGTACAGGCACTTTGTAATGGCAATCTGTTCTACTACAGAAGAAAAATCTGTCCACTGGCCAAAGCCCTACACAAGGCTTTTCATACACAGGACTCTCAAGAGAGAACATGGACCACATGTGTAAGCATGAAACAAGCAGAGCCATTCAAAGGACAGAGCAAGAGGGCAGTGCACTGATCCAGGGGAGGAAGAGCTGGGGATAACCTAAAAGACAGTGCCTGAAGCCCAGCATCTGCAGATGTTTAAAGGTATGTACTGAACAGGAAAGAGAGGCTCCTTTAGCTCTGTGCATTCCCTTTTAAGGATTCCTCCCCTCCCTCTCTCTGCCAAAGATGCTGCCTGCAGAGCCAAAGGCCAATGCACAAGCTGACCAAAGTTTTAGAGGCTACAAGAGATGCACAGAAGAGATGCCTTTGCAACATCTGTAGGCCAGAAATGTGAAAACAAAATAGACTCCAAATATGTCCAAATAGTTGGGGATATTGAATGTGTCAATGTAAAAGCAACATTCAACTACAAGGTCAGAAACGTTTGCCAGCAAACACTGATGAGAGACTGACTGTGCTCCAGATACAAAGAACCCTGCCACTACTTGAGGAATGGGTTTTATCTCCTCTCCCTCAAATGGCTTTGTCACTTTTGAGGCTGAGCATCACAGGCTTTTTGTGTCTGGTTATTTCCCTCCAAAATAGTTTTTTTGGGTTTGAAGTGATTTTGGGGAAAGGGAAAGATAGTTTCCATTTGTACCTGGAAGAAGCTTTCCACATACTGCAGCAAATAGACACCACAATCACTGCTGTTATCTTGTTTAGGCACTCTGGGACACAGGTCAATCATAGTGTATTTATTGAATTCTCGATGTGTTTTTCGTTTAGCTTCCCATTCTGCTTCAAGGTACCTACATAAGAAAGCAAACAGGTTAAATACTTGAGGAATAACTCCTAAGCTCAGTGCATTTTGGGATATTGCTCAATATTTCACAGAATCTGTAAAAAAAAATAATCATACAAGGAACAACACAACTTCCGCTATCCAATATTCTATCACACTCAGGGGCATCTCTATCACATAATATGCAATATACAAAACAGGAAGATGCATGACATTATTTAAAAACGAAGTTATTTGTGCTGAGTTTCTTCAAGCTATTAGGATACCAGGACATTTTTAAATCTTAACTAAAGGAAGAACTCAAGTAATCTTCCCTGACTATTGCATACGTTTTTCCTGGGTTCATCGTAAGAGGCCAGCAGTGGTCTTCTAACCTAAGCAAACCATTAAAAAACTTTGACATTCTGTAAGGTGAATTCTAATTACAATTCCACCAATATAAGCCTTGCAACCTACTAGCGTACAAGGTATATAAACACTTGTAAAAACCCTTAACAGATCACATCTTTAATGACTATGACTTATTTGTCATCAGGCTTTACTATTGCTCTTGCACTTCAGTAGCAACTTACAGATCCCACACTCTGGGCTGGCCACTGATTTTGAAGAGATGGGATTGAAAGCACAAGGGTCTGATTTTCAAAGACAACAGTTACCTATACTTTTCTGCTGACTTTAGTCAGAGTTGCGAAGGCTCAGGGCTTGTGAAAAATCAAACATAAGGTCTGAGTTTAGGGAATAAAAAAAATACACACGTTAAGTCAGACCTTGAGTTTGATTTCTAAAAGCCTGAAGTCCTTGCAATTCTGAGAATAAAAATATATTTAAACCACACAAAACACCTTTGGGGAAAACAGCAACAGTAAAAAGGCGGCAAACATGAAACAGTTCGAAGATGAAGACAGTTCAGTGAAGCATGTTCCCTAGAAACTGCAAGAACCTATGACTGCAGACTTCAAAATTAATCTGTTTGAGCCTGACCACAGCCCAAAACACCACAAAAGTAATCTCAAGGAAAGAAGATATCACAGAACCCCTGCATCAGTTCCCTTAAACTTCAGCTTTCAGGGTGTAACTGCAAATTGAAGGAAAAAGAGGTCTACTTCCCAAACTTGCCTGATCTCACAACTCCATGAGTCAGCTTTGTTTTCTGACTTTTCAAGACATCTCTCTGAACTTCAGGAAACCACCCTCTCTGGAATTTCAACCCCAGGAGTAGCTCAAAGCATAGAGCACTAAGGTAATACATCCCACAGAGATTAAAAATAAATAAAAATTGCTATTTCAACCTTCCTCCCAAGACGCATGGTGGGAGAGGCCTCCCTATCTAGGGAAAAGATGGTTTCACAAAAATTTCTGATTCTCATCTAACCCTCACATAGTGTTTTGAAAAATTTACTTTTCAAGAAGGATGTACTATTTGGTTTACAGATTTTTGTCCCTTTCAGTGAAGTGGATACAACAGATGAACAATTCTGTTTAGCTTCAAATATTTACTAATTTTAAGAAGTTGTTGACAGATGTTAAAGTCATTAGGAGTGTGTAAAAGTATGCATTTTAATGAATCTGTTTTTCTACCCTTAAAAACATCCTCCATTACTGAATTGGAGGGAAAAGAACCCAAACCTCCTCTACTTCTAATTTTTTTTTTCCACTTTCAAAAAGACTGTCCACTTTACAATTTTTGCATTATATCCAGGCTGCAGAACAAAGACAGACTTTTCACACAAGCCTCTGTATTACCATTTTCTTTGTTGTGGCTCTTTATGGATTTTCCTATAGCATTAGAAATGTACAGCTTTATGGAGAAAAGTATTTTGAACATAAATATAACACCAGCAGCACCTCTTTCTAATATATGGAAACTGTAGTTACTTACTCTCTCAAAACCTGAACTGTTTTCTGTACGGAACCAGCTTTCAAAGAATCTAAGATGAGTATACAAGGCCTGTACACAACAAAAACAAACAAACAAAATCATTGTAGTCTTTCATTACCAACACTACTGAAGCAAATATTTTGTTTAAATATGGCTTAACAAGAGCATCAATATCTGAAAAAGCATGGGAAAAAATGGACAAGTTCCTACAGCCGTGGCTTTATGACAAATAACTGAATGACTGCAGAATTTCTTAATATAATTTATTGATACAGTATCAGTATAAAAACAGAAACATACCTTTTACATATCTGCCTTTTGGAATTACTTAGGGACATCTGGGAGAAGAGAAAATAAAAATAACCTTAAAAAACTCCAACTATTATAAACTCAAATGTCTTCATAGATTTAAAGGTAAAGCCAGAGAGGCTCCCATTTCAGAAAGGGAGAAACTGATAAATAATTTTAAAAAACACATGAAAGCATAGCATAGGCAATATAGGCAGGCAAAGGAGGACTTTAGGCTAATTTGAAGTGTCTTGCACATGCTGCAGGCCACAGAAGTATCAACAGCTGCTGCAAAAAAGATGATGCAAAATAAACTTGGTCAAGTCTCAGAGCCTTCAGAAACAGAGTAATATGTTTCCTCTGCCAGCACAAAAAGGCACTTACCTTAGAAATACCCGAATCCAGGACTGAAGCAGAAGCAGCAATTTCATCACCACCTAGTACAAAAGAAAAAAATTAAAGTCTTGAGAAAATATTTTCTAACTGCAGTATTTTCTTTTTAAAATTCATGATTACTGCTATTCAAAATATGACAGTGAATTATAAACTGATTTTGCTTCTGAATGTTCAAATAGCAGAGTTACTGAGGGTCTGCCTTCCTGATAAAATTCCAAGAACTTCCCACTCACGATGGGATCTGAGCCACAGGTTTTACGTGTACCTTCCAGCATTTTCCAGACTTGTGGACAACAAGAATGCAGTGCAGTCCTTGCTATGCATGGTAATACATAAACATATTAAATCAATCTTGACATGAAAGACACTTTTTAAGACATCATATCTCTCCTTCAAGGATTAAGACACTATTAGAACTGTACATGATTTGACATAGTTTCTTCTAGATTACCTACCTTTTGAGAATAAACTTCTGTTAGCATTCATTTCTTCTTCATCCTTGCAGTTATGAAGGAAGGCCAACAATGAACCAGTTCTAGTGTTCTCATTCTCTGACTGAAGTGGAGACTGTTGAGGCTGCTGATCTAATGAATTCTGATGGGGACACTCCTCATATACAGCTTCTTCTAACCAAGGAAAACAGATAACTGCCATGTACCAATGAGACCTGCCCAACAATGGGGGGAGAGGGGGAAAAACATCAAAATGTTTGGTTCTGAAAAAGATATGAAAAGTTTTTATAACACTCATGGGCAACTGTTCTGTTACACATGATCATTGTTGCCATATTCCTTCATGATGTCTCATTCTAATCCTCTCACTCGTTTTTTACTTTGCATTGTGACATAACAGCAAAAGTAAGTATCAATTCCTTTAAAAAAACGCAACCACAGCAACTTATCAGTGCCTCACCATATATCCCACACTGACAAAAAAACCCCAAGTAATAAAATAATCTGTGATGGTAATCCCAGTTTTGAATATAGCTGAGGCTATAGCATGCCTCTAGCCTTATCTCTTTCTGCAGCTGTTTTGCATACGTAACTCTCAATGACTATTCTGTTTTACTGGAGTTTCCATGTGCAGGTCAGTTTTCAACCAGGCCAAGGCACAGACCATGAAAGTACTACTCCTGATCTATTAACACTATGAGTTGCTGTGATTTCTTTATAAAAATATTACTTAAGTGCACAGGAATCATCATAATGACATACAAATTATTTTGATAAATACATAAAAGCAATTTTCAGTAAACAAAAACCAAAGATGCAAAGTTTACTGATGACAATGAAATAAAAAATTTTAACTTTTGAAGAGACTTCAAAATTACTCACTCCACACCTGTTATTTCTTCAAAGTCTAACGTGCTCATTTCCAATGATCCAAGCTTACAGCCATAAATCTTTTTATCATCACAACATTCAAATACTTAAATGTTTACATATCAGAAAAGGTGTATAATCCACATAGACTTACTCCTCGTTCACAGGCACAAAGATATAATCTTTACTGAAGATGTTTATATGACGAGTCCATGTTCTTACTCTTCTGTGTCTTCTCTGTGCTGCTCTGCAGAAACCAAATGACAGCTGTTGTTCAGATTTGTTCTTTTTAGTTAAAGTACGGTATAAGGATTAGTACTCCTACATCTTCCCAATCCCTCAATGGGTTTTTAATTTACTCTTGAAATTTCCCCGACAGAGAAAAAAATAAGTTGGCACATCATCAAGCTCAAGTGATTAACAAGCCATTCTGAATGATCTTAAACTCTTCTGGAAAAAATCATCCATAGGTTTGAAAGGATTTCTTGCAGTTATTTATCCAGTAATTATTATTTACTACACTAAATGAAAAAATCTCAACTAAACACTAGCCAGTCTAAAAACAGATCTATAGCAATTTACAAATATCCATGAATTAAACTTCACAATACCACTTTTGAAGGCCTTTCTAAACAACCTTATCTTTCGAAGAAAAAAGCTAAATGCCTTGCATAGCATCATGAAACACACCTGTATCAAAGCCAGAACTGAAATAGATTGCCTTCAGTCCTGAGCTTTAAATGCTGGAGCACATTTCATTTCCAGTCCTACAGACATAAAAAGCATGAGGACAGCATACTAGGAGAATAAGAAAAAATTGAGAGGAACACCAAATTTGTATCTCGTTTGCACAAGTTGAAATAGAAACCAACAATTCCTAGAACTGTGCTCCAATATGATCTGAAAGCAAAATTCACTCTACTCAGGAGACATAACTATTACCATTCCAATTCCATCCTGATCTGTGATCAGGAAATGTAATTTGAGTATAGGAGGAATGGGAGAAAAGGAGTGAGGAATGGAAAAAACAAGCTGCTGTGGGACTCTGCATGGGCCAGCATTAAGTGAAGACTTGCTGCAAAATTCCTCTGCTACAGGACTCTAAAAGCACTGGGAACTTAAAAGGGGAAGGCATATTTGCAGCCTGGGAAAGCACCTACAGAATGAGCTTTCTCAATCTACTGCCTAAGCAGTGTGAAGAAAGAGAAGCTAAGGGTCTTTAAGCTAAGTAGCTACATCAGTTGAAATTAATTTAATTTCCAACAGTACAGAGCCCAGTTTTCCACTACCCATTTATCAAAAAACCCCACAAAAACAAAAACCCAAACCCAAACTACCTGTAATCACCAGGTAAGTATCTAGGCCCAAACACAAAACTAGACTTTCCAAAGCCATCTCCTGATCTGGAGCACCTACAGTCCTTGAAATATGGTGAATTAAGATGCCATTCTGGTTCCTCAAGGAGGTTATGGACAGTCCAGCCTTAAAAAGGAATCAGATCAAGGCACAACAGCATTCTTAACATGGACAATTCTATTTCCATGTCAGAACATTCAAGGGTCAGAAAACAGTAAAATGACAGAAGACATTCTCTTAAGCACAGCTCCTTGAATTTGAGACCTGTTCGAAAATATTGTAGAAGTTGCATTTTTTTCCCCACTGCTTTCACCCAGCAGTGACTGTAACACAAACAAGATGGCACACCTCCTTCTGCAGGTGGCCTGTCTGCCAGTAGAATGAAAAACATGGGGACTTCAAGGGTAACAGAAGAAAAATCACTTCAGAGAAACAGGAAAAAAAACCAACCTTCAATAAGCTGAATGATGAAAATAGAAAGGAAGCTGCTGGCAGATCATCACTGTAAGTGAAGTGGCACGGCAAGCTCCACTCTCAAACAGTGTTGAGAAGGGAGGGAAAGTGTGGTAGGGATAGTCCTACCCTTTATACAGTCTGACCCAGAAACAAAGTGACACAGGGTTCTTAAGCTCTCAATGATACTTTTTTGTGAAACTCTCCAATTCCAGTGTACTTAAGTGTTAAACACCAAATGTGTAAACTTTGTGTGTAAGAAAGTTTTCTTACTAAAATTTGGACAATAATTTATTACCAATATGCAAAATGAAATTATGTGGTAAATTTTAAAATATTTTTAGAAATGCCATTTCTTAAAATGATGCATACCTTGCAAAACTCTGAGCTTCTAACAGGAAGATCAAATTACATAAATAATTGTCTGAAGTAAATATTCAGATAATGTTGGAGAACGGTGGTAACACTTTCATTCGTATTCAGTATGAGTCCATGCCGATTTTAATGAAAAACACCAGTATACTTCAATTGTGAGTTACAGTATTTAACCCCACTAATCCTTTAAAGAACACTGATTACTATTTTATGTGCTAATTAGGAGATGATCTGCAGACCTTCCAAGTGGCATCAATAGCTAGCTATTTGTGGTCATAATGGCATCTCAAATGAACTTACGAAACTTTGAGATCTCCCTCAGCGTTTTTTTCTGTCCTGGTCAGACACTTATAGAAGAAACTGCTAAAAATGTGTGTACGATCAGCAAGATGTTTTGGTGCCTTCTCCAACAACAGGTATCTACCAAAGAAAAGAGAAGGAAATTATTAAATTCCTTTTCTAGAAAGTACCATTACTGATATGAAAGAAGGACAATTATTTTAATGACTTATCATACGCAGGTTATGCTTACTATCATTTGCATCCAGCCACTAAATCACATCAAACTTTTCTCTCTACTCTGTTTTCAATATGCACCTGGGTAGACAGAGTATGTAACAGCCAGGCAACTATTAAGAATGCAGTTATTTTTTATCTCAGATTCGTGCACCAGTATTAGTGCTTCTGAATTTAGAGTTTGGTTTCTAGCCCTTGTAATTAAGACAGGCTTGAAAACCTAACCAAATATAAGCCTATGGAATGTTGTACTCCTGTGTATACAAAGAGCATAGGACAGTTTGGTACTATAAATTGTCCGTTTTACTTCTACAGGTTATGCATGTGGAAGTTAAGACAAATATTCTACAGGTACTCATTCTGTATGATTTTACTCTTGATCATTTTACTATGAACATCAGCTTGAGTGTTCATCATCCTAGAAGGCCAAAGCTCTCCTAATTGCACTCATCCTACACAAGGTGCCTCCAGCTTCACCCAATGACTTGGACAAGAGAGTCATACATGACACAGCTTGCAACAGAATGAAAACTGGGAACATGGGAAGTCTAACAAATATAAAAGCAGAGGAGTTTCTGCAATGATTGCATTGAATTTCTTTATTCAAATCTTCCTTTTCTGGCAAGATGAAGCTACAGCTATGGAGAGGACCACACTGCATGATTTTTTCCTAGTTTAGAGCAAAATACAGGTGGCTTTGCTGTAAAACCACATCGAAACACTGGTACACATTTCCTTTTCCACTCCTCTAGACAAGAAGTTTTAACTGGCTTCCTATTGCTCACAATTACTGCAGCCGTGCTAGACGCCAAGCAAAATGGAACTCTTGCAGATAACCTTCAAGAGAGCCAGAATTCTGGTTAGGTTTAAGTTAGCACAGGGAAAATAAACCTCGGTTTTAGGGAATGGTGGCCCACAATGCTGGTTCTGGAAAACTTGCTTTCACAAGCAACTTTAGCAGGATGGCATGAAGCAGGTAAGCCAAACACAACTTCCTCGAGAAGTATATGCTGTGCTCCTTTCTGCAGGAGCTGTGCATTGGAATTCCTGAACTCTTGCACAGAACAGCAGAAGATGCTCCACTTCATGTGAACTCGTAAACAAACAGACCCTCTACTTTGTTTAACTGCCTGCCTAAGACAGCTCAGCATTTTCTGTTTTGTGAGGTTGCCAAGAGGATTTTTCCCCCCCCAGCTACTCTGTCTGGATTACATCACAGCCTTTTAGAAGGACAAGAATGAAATTGAAACAAATGAAACTGCTGAGAATACATAAAAGCTTTAAAAAAGCTCATCTACAAATTCATCATACTGTTACTTCTAAAATTGTTGTATCATATTTAGTGACCAACATATACAGTAATGTTCAAGTCCAGATCAGGTCCCAGAAAAAAGGGTACAGTTAAGGCTGTGATTACTTACTTAAGATAGAAATCAATGATGACATCATTGAGGAACTCTCCATATTCTAAGCACTCTAGGTCTTCTCTTGTGACTCCCAGTCCTCCTTTTGCAGGTGGGGGTGGATAAACAATTAAACTAGAAAACACAAATCACATTATAACAGTGACAAACTGTGTTTTACATTACATTCTTCTTAGTATGGCTGTTCCACATGTAGAAGATTTTCTAGAGAACCTGTTAAAAGTGGTAGTTCTCATAACTATTCACTAACTCAGAAGTCCTTTACCATTTCTTCCTCCAATTTAACTATTACAAAACTTGAAAAGGAGATTATATTTTTACATATCTTGGTTTTCTATTTTTGATAAAAGTAATTGACAAATGGCTATACAAGGGAAGAAATATTACGGGACATATTCTCAAGTGGTATGAAAGAACAGCGATTTTTCCATTCATTAAGACTCTGATAAGGACTCCCACATTTCCAAGCAGGAAACTTGGGTTTACACACCATGCAGCATATGTACTTTAAGTGGTTTGAAACTGCCCAAGTTACTTCTAACATCAGTTTTTAAAATGTATTTTAAAAGCTCTAGATTAACAACCATATTACTTAACTGGAAACACCAACTGAGCATTTTTGCTGTTGCAGAAATAAACCCAACTGCTATTCTGTCAGTAAGAACAGTGATGGCAAAAGGCAAGAGTTAAGAGTATTGGAAACATTCAAGATCAGGTTGGATGGGGCTCTGAGCAACCTGATCTAGTTAAAGGTGTCCCTGCTCACTGCAGGGGGGTTGGACTAGATGACCTCTAAGGTCCCTTCCAACTCAAAACATTCTATGAGTCTATGATTCTAATTTACTTCACTGATGTTTGCTGTATTAGAAGTATGAGGACTAACAGGCTAGTGCAGACACAACTGAGGCATGTCAGCACTCTCATAGTATCTTGCTGCATTACACATTTGCGTGTTCCCATTTTCTTACGTTTTTTGTTAACCAAGCTCCTGTACTAACTAGTAAATCATATGACAAACTAATTACAAATAGATTGAGTGTGACAGAACAGCAAAAGGAAGCATTGTTTAGACTAAAGAAAAAAAGGCTCAGCCTAAGTTAGCAATACTTTTGCTGTGATACAGACTTAGATGGGCACTCAGAGAGGCCATGAGGTCCCTACCCTCCCGTTGATGCATCCGTGATATGACCTTGTAGTCACAATTCAGGTATTCTCTAATTTCTGTGAGATTTTCTGCCATCCTGTAACACACCCGTTTTGTCTGTTAACTATTAGGATGGAAACAAAAATAACTACATTCATACTTGGTTATATTTTAGATTTACAGAGCATCTTTCACACAACACTTCCAAATCAACTAGAGAATGCTTTTATTCCAGCAATCTGTTTATTCCATTTGCTGTGTTTTCACCTTCTCATTTATAAGAAATATACTTACTTCTTAACTGCTCCGGTTTCTCTTACTTCCTTCCATTCTTCATTCAGTGCAGAGGACAGAGAGATAGAATAGCAACCACTATTCTGCTTATTTGCAAGGGCATAACTGGGCCTGGACACTTTCGGTTTTGATTCCTACCAGAACAAATCCAAACAATAATAAGAATAATAGTAAAAAGCATTACATTGCTTGATATGTAAAACAGAACACACAAAAGCCTGAAGTCCACAGGAGTACCCTGCATCACTGAAGAAGAATCTTGCTGGAGAGCAGAAGCGTAAACCAGTATTCAGGTAAGCATGCCACTGCTCAGACAATAAAAAAGTTATGTCCCTTTTAAAATTACAACAGGTCTCCATCTGTTCATAACTTCTCTCTAAAACAGTTTAAACATTATTCAGCCAACTGACAGAGACTGGTTTTGGAGAAGAAACAGGACCTGAAAGGATGGAGACAAGCATCAGACTGTCTTACTAGGAGCTGTGTATGCTTGGAAGGCTTGAAAATCTAGTTCTTAATTATTTGCCTAGAAATAACTCCGATTTGAAGTGGCTGGCTCAATTTTTAAAAGTTCCCAGTTTCACAACCAGGTTAATCTGTTGTCTCTGTGCTTTTCACTAATGGGAACAAACATGTAATTTCTGAGGCGACGATGATACGGGGTTGGGTTGAAACATTTACTCCTCAGAGAAAGGTGTATTAAGACATTGCCTTGCACAGCCCCATCTCCTCATCAGCCTTAGAAATCATTTGACATTTCAAGCTGTGGAGTCCCCACAAGAATGTCTAGAGGTGTCTGGAATGAGCAAGATACACAGCTCCTCCTCTGCTGCACCCCTTCGCTTCCAGCTCAACTGAAAAATGGCTCCATCGCTCATTACTTGATTAACTCCCGACTTGCTACCCTGGAGACACCACAAAGGCAGGAAATCCCTGTGGTTCTAGGCATGCACAACCACTTACTGATGAGGTCTATACACTATCCTTCCGTGGACACAATCTTGTTTCTGCAAATCTTGTCCCGTTGTGAGAGGAAAAATAACAAAAACATGACTGGGGTTTTCTTGAGTTATGGATTAAGAAACATTTTATTTTCTGCAACTGGGTGATCTAAAATTTACTAGAATATGTGAATGCAAACAGGTGGCAATGAATCAAGCAACAGCTACTCACTAACCTGAACTGCAGGCTCAGGAGCATCTGAGGTATTCTCTTTTGGCATACGTTGCTTTTGCAGATCCTTACTGTAACTCATAAAAGAGCTTTCTTCAGGAGAAAGATCCTTAAACAAGAGTAACACTTGCTTCAAAGACAAAAAGTCAGTGAGATCTGGTGCTCTGTTCTTCTTGCTCACATCTGTAATCAATTCAGTCAGTCTGTCTTCTTCCCATTCTGCGAGTGGTTGGGACAATTCAAGAAATACAAATTCACTACACTTGGCTGGAAAAAGGAGAGAATGGATAGTATTAACTATTAGGTCACATGATAAAAACTTGTTTGCACACCCACAAAGGGGCATAAGAGACACAATAGCAGGAGGGGGAGCCCAAATAATACCCTGCCAGGTTCATCACAGCAGCCATCAGCACACCAAAGGCCTGCCTCCACAAGCCCAGAGGAGCACAAGGGCACAATGGCAGGTAGGAACCCCAGTTAAGGGCTGGGAGGAAGGGACATCCGGTCTCAGCCCTTCCCAGGGCTGACCAAGGACAGCCTCAGCCCCAGGGTCCACACCTGACACCCATCAAGACGAGTCAAGGCCAGAGCACCTTTTGAAGAGAGGAGGGGTTACTGCTGAGGTGTGCAGCAGACATGATGGGATGCTAGGGAAAAGCGTTTTGGGATTGCACAGGACTTACTATGGGATGTTTCAGGGAAGAACCAAAGGCAGGTGAAGGGAGGCATTTATGTGATTTGAGGAGGAACAAGTATGGGAAAATAGAGGGCTAAGGGCATAAAAAGGACCAGTCACATCTAAATACTTTGCTGCTCAGCACACTTGTCTGGCCACGCCCTGTGCATTGATCAGCGCAGTCTGTCCTTTCTTCTCATTAAATCCCCTTCTAACTCTCTCCTGTGTGAAGGACAGTCTGAGTGCAGCAGCTGGAGTGAGCGTGTGTGTGCAAGCAAGCATGCGATTGCTAGTGAAGATCAAGCCAAACTAGGTAAATAGGTGAAGTGCCCTGGGAGCCAGGGGGGTGAGCAGGTCCCTCAGGGCCAGCTCTGGCTGTGAGACTGCCTGTGTATCTCTAAGGATGAGAGCACAGAGGGGACAGCTACTGGGACCAGGGGAGTCCTGGCCAGCTGTGTGCCTGCGTGCATGACTGTCTGTACCAGCAACTGGCAGTGGCCTTTGTGGCTTCCATGTCCAGGTGACAGCAACTGGGGAGACTGGGATCCAGAACCAGCAACCGGGCAGACAGTGTGTGAGCCCAGCTGACAGGCAGATCCACCTTGTGCATATATGTGTGTATGTATGTATTTTCTCACTAGCAGGCCTCCATCATGCTTAGCCAGGGAGGGGAGCAAGATGAGGCTGTTGGCACTGTCTGTGTTTGAGAGTTGTGTGTCTGTGTTATCTGTGTGGCCTGCTAGGTATACATGTGGTGAATGTGCGTGCTCTGTGTGCTCTACCTATGGGACTACACCTTCAGCCTTGCTACTGGCTGGACCTGGGGACATGGAGCTCCAGCAGCCTCACCCCTCTCAGGCTGTCAGATCCAGCACAATATATTTTCCTCTAATATTAACACACTAAGAAGGCAGAGCAGAATCATAGTAACCATTTCCACAATCTGTAAAATTACCACTGATTTGTTTCAACAAGTCTCCACATAAATTTCAAGGTAAATAAACCTAAGATTAAAAAGTGCCTCAACTCCATACTTAGGTTTCACTCATTTCACAGGAAACTGTGTCTATAGAAGCTACCAGTAACCTTGATTAATTTACATCATGTAAAGGTAACTCACTGCTAAAATTTCACTCAGTATCTTACCTCAAACTATTCGTGCTCCTTATGTAAAGTTAACATTACTTATAATTCTTCTTCAAACAAGTGGCAATTGTACAGGGTAAATATACTGTTATTTCACACAGGCAACTCTGACACCATTTTGTTAGATGTCATTTCACAATGATTTTGATAACGTAAAGCCTTGTGTGATTGTGCCACTCTCAGTATTTGAGCAAAAGCTATATTCAGTTTTACAGAGCTTCACACTAAAAAAAAAAAAACAGATGGAGCCAGTCCATAAGACTCTACAGACTAAATAGCCCATTTGGCCTTTAGTGGAAATTCCTCCAGTAATAACGCAATGGCCCAGTGCAGTCTTGTCGAAGACCTAAATCAAACTTTATCTGCCAAGCCTTTTGTCTAGCATATACATTACTCAAGAATAAGGACACTTAGAACATCCCATTTATTTTAACGGGGGAGATACTTGACGCACAAACCTAGTTTCAGAAGGCCTCCTCACACAGATTACAATTGAACTGTTCCAAGGTCTTTTTATTAAGTAGCAGTGGTTTTGAATCACATTATGTTAGATTTTTTTCTTCCAAATACAAGCATAGCAAGGCATTTTTAGAAAAGCTATAGGCCTTCCTCAGTATTCCAGAAGAACAACTGTAAAATAACTGCTTTATTGACATACCATATATTAGACTTTTTCATTGCATTTAAGGAAAGAGATTACTCACATGGTTTGCTGGTAACTAACTTTCCCAATTGGGTTTCAATCTTTTCTACACAATCCACAGACAACCAGAGGAAAATTACTGTTGTTGAAGAACAGTCACCATCACTTCTCCACAAGCCAAACCTTCTCAGGTCCAGAGTATCCACTGTCAGCTTAACATTCTTATTAAGAGCCACTGTAGAAAACAGAATTTAAAATAACCATACCTTTCACAGCCATGGGTAATTATAAAGTTACACATGTTACAGTAATTACATACTAAGACTAAGTATAATCAGAGTGTATTAAAACAGTACATGTAGATTTTATTCCTGTCATTACATAAAATGTGTTAAGAATTTAATACTTAAATCAGTTCTATCCAACTCTGTAAAACAAAGTTACCAAATTGTAACACCAAAAACTAAACATATAAATGCAGGATTCTTCATGAAAAAAATTGTATTTTTGCTCAGAATAACCACAGTTAATACCTACAAATACAAAAATAAATATTGCAAATCATTAATTCCTATTTGCTTTTAGTCAATCCAATTCAGAACTGTTCAAAAGCCCTCTCCTACAAGATAATGGAAACCACACATCATCTTTGAAAAATGATCTGAATGCAAATCTACATTTATATTCCTCTTACCATACATACTTGTCAACTCATACATTTTTCTTTAATACCTACGGATCTAAAACCCTAATCTGAAAATATTAATGCTGTACCTCAAAAACATGCATAGTCATATTTACTATAGTTCAACACTCAATATGTCCAGCAATGCAAGAGGCAAAGCCATTAAAACTAAAAGTTCACCTTAAAAGTGTAAGAAACTGTTAATTTATTAATGGTTACACTATAGACATCAATACTTTTATTTACTGAAAAATGTAAATTTTAAAAATTATTTGATGTCTTTGTGAAAGCATGCAAGATTATAAATTATTTATAATATAAATACATACTGAGTATTTTAATGCAGTAGTTTAAAGATCTATTTAAGAGAAGGCTAAAGAAAAAAATTCTCTTACCCTGAAATGGGATCGTAATATACTTGGTTGTAAACTGAAATAAGATCAGAAAATATACATTAGTTTGCTCTTTAGAAATTGATTAAAACAAAGAATTTTAAATTATCTGCACATCTTTCTTTACTTACAGCCAAATAAACTGAAAATAATATCACAGAATCATTTAGCTTGGAAAAGACGCTTAAGATATTCTGTTTTATGCGGAGCGGCTGAGGGAACTGGGGTTGTTTAGCCTGCAGAACAGGAGGATGAAGGGAGACCTTATCACTCTCTACAACTCCCTGGAAGGAGGCTGTAGCAAGGTGGGTGTCAGTGTCTTCTCCCAAGTAACAAGTGCTAGGACGTGAAAGGAAGTGGCCTCAAGTTGGGCCAGGGGAGGTTTCGATTAGACATTAGGAAAAAATCTCTTCACCAAAAGCGTTGTTAAGCACTGGAATGGGCTGCCCAGGGAAGCGGTTAAGCCCCCACCCCTGGAGGTATTTATAGATGAGGTGCTTAGAGACATGGTTTAGTGGTGGAATGGCAGTGTTAGGTTAATGGTTAGGCTTGATGATCTTAAAGGTCTTTTCCAATCTAAATGATTCTATGAACATCAAGTCCAACCATTAACCTAACACTGCCAACTCCAATATGCCTAATTTGAGACTTAATATTGCCTATTTCACCTAAAAAAACCCCTCCTAAATACATATTACGGAATCTAAATTACAGCAAACTGACTTCCAGAGGTGCTCAGCAATGAGAAATAAGCAGAAAGTTGCAGAGCTGTCTACAGTTTCCTTAGAAGAAAAAAAAAATTATGAACACTTGGCACAAAAGGAGCTTATTTGTAAGCATCCCATGATAAAGACTGTCAGCTGCATTATTTGAATTAAGGTCACTATATAAATGGTCCAACACTAGGGTGTTACTTTGCTATTTATGTTAACTTTTGAATTCAAGGCCTTTAAAGTTTCCACTTACACTGTTGCTACGTCAAAAAGATTTGGCTATATGAAGAATGCTTTATTGTCACTTTGACAGAAGGTTGTCATATACATTGAGTGAAGAGGTTTCTCTAACATTGCCACAGTAAGCACAAAGTTGCTTTTCACTTTCCGCCTAAAAGCATTGTTTCTAAAAATATTCCAACTCATCCCTCAAATTATTTTGGCTATTAATTTAGGAAATCTCAATCAAGTGTTTTCATTACTGCATGAGAACTGCTGCACAAAACTGCTGTTCTGTGAAAAGCTGAAATTATGATTACAATCCAAGATTGTAAAATCTTACTGTAACAAAAAGATATACATGTTCAAACATTTATTTTTCAATTGCAATATATAAAATGAGCCTAGTCAAAGACCTGTTGAAACTCCTGCAGTTGGTACTCCACTTGAAGTACATCTTCACTTATATTTCAACACCCTGCGAGTAGCATGTTGCCTATATGCTAATGCTTTTAGTGTTTAGTCTTTAAAGCTACAAAAGCAGCAGTTTTCTGCTTAAAAGGAAAGGTTAGCGCATAGTATATATCTGAACTCCCATCATTATGGATTATTTTATTCTCATATCTGTACTATTTCTGAGAACAGTAACTGGCGTTTATTTCAAGTGACATTAACATGGCCATTGTTTTCTGTTAGAATTCATGAAAGCTTCCCGAGTGTGATTTCTGTTCCAGTAGAGCATTTATACAGAACCTTTACCTCTGAAATCTGTGGCCACAGAAAATCCCAGTTAGCTCTTCTACTGACAGCAACCCAAACACACAAGGTAATGAACTACACACTCCATTTAGCCAAAGCAATGTGACGCAATAATAATCAGAACTCAGTGCTTTCACACCAAGTACCACTAGCTTTGCTTCACCAGACTTTTAAGTATTCTTAAAATATGACCATAGTAGAACAACTTACCCTAGCAGGATCTGTTGATAACCATTTAAATTTCCCAATGTATAGACTATCAAATTTAACATCCAGTGCTGGGTTCATCCGTTTTCTAGGTGTGCTTCCAGAAGGTAAGCTGATAGGACATTTATCTTCAACTGACTCTGTTAAAGACTGGGAGAAAGAAGTGTATTTACTACAGGGATATAAATGAGGTAATTCCCTCCTGTAATCTTAAGATTTTTCCCTTCATGTTTGTAAGAATTTACTCCCAAAACCAACTTTCATATAACAATTCCATATTAAAAAGTTGTAAATGTTATTACAATCATTACTGACAATGTCCTTAAAGGCCTAACAGTATTTTACTCCACCTCTAAAGTTCACATTGCCAAGATATAAGCTGTGCTCTTTACTAATCTAGAGGCAAGTAAAAACTCAAAACAGAGCAACAAAAAAACCCCTCTTTTGATATCAGAGGTACAGAATCCAATTCAATGCTTATGATCAAAATGATGCAACTGTGAGAAGAGGTAGCAATGGCTTTTCTGACTTGTTTCAGGATTACAGGGATAACTGAAATCCAGCTCAAAGCAAGCAGCACAAGGTTAATGAAGTCCAAAATGGGGCAACCACCTTTATGGCCAGTTTTAGATTCAAATTCCACTGCTAGCCACACAGGAAAAGGAACGTTACCCTATCTCTGTCTGCCATCAACAAGGATCCTTGAACTTCTCCATGCACTGAATTACAACCGAGGACTGAATGACAAGAAGAAACTGAGATCAATATAAAACATTGCAGGGAAAAAACCCAACTTTTCATGGATGTATCTACCATTGTCACCTCTAGCTTGGATTACTATTTGGTCCTTCCTCTTCTGTAATATTAAACATTTCCAAATGTTTATTTTCAAAATATGAAATACATTGTATCTTGCAAAAACACCCAAGCTTCAGAGCCAATGAACTTCTCTGAAGACTGTCCAGAATTCTGTCTGTGAAATAAGTTACTGCAGCTACTGCTTGTTGCTCGGACTAATCATATCGGCTCTAAGCATTTCACTTTTGTTCCAACATGCAAGAAAAAATAAACATTGGTGAAATAAATTAAAGGGTTGGCATAACAATACATAGACCAAAACCTGTACTACCTGCTCAGTGTGACTTTCCAGCTTGTTGTCCAGTTGCTTTCCGGAGAAACAGAAGTCAGACTGTTGGTCTGTTTCTTTATTGTCAGTGATATTATCCTGCAGCAGCTCTGTGCTTTTTGGTTCAGAAGGTCCATCTTCATCATCACTGGAAAGGACAACTAAAGAAGAAAAAAAAAGTATACATATGCTACAAGATGCAGACTTGAGAACATTTCATTCATTGTGGATTTTAGATGAGCAAAGAATTCTCTCTTGTAGTATGTACATTGCCCAAACTAGTCAGTCTGCGCATGAAAAGTGTATGTAACAAATACTGCTTTGTATCTTCATTAACACTTTTTACTCAAGATCCTCAAAATTATTTTATTATTAAGAGAAACAGGCCACAATATAGCTGCTTCAAAAAAAAGAACTTTTTTTCTCAGTTTAAGCACCATTTAAAAGTACAAGCTTGATTTTCCATAGCCACAATATCAGCTGCAACATAAGGATTAGAATTTGAAAATCCTGCCGTCTAGCCTGTTTCTCAGGTAACAAGACCCTCTACACTCCAGTAGAGGACACTGGCACTAGACACTGCTTTAATTTGCAGAACACATTGCAAACAACACGATCTCTGTCTTCAATCTTTTGTTCCATATGTTGCAATTAGTCAGTAATGTACGAGTTCTCTTAGTACCTAAGCATACCAATAATTGTCAGCAGCACAGATACAATACATACTTGGGTCAACTGAAACAAGTTGCCGATTAACCCTGCGGATTCTGTTCCGCAGCTTGCTCAGGTACTGTGATGTGTCCATCTTTACTTTCCTGATGGTACTGACTCGTGGTGAAATCACATCCTCACAGGTGGCAGAAAGCTGTTTCTCTGACAAATTTCCAGGAGAAGACTCTGAGCCAAGTTCCTCTGTGCAGATAGGAGCAGGCCTTAAGTGGTTCTGTGTGGAAGTGTCTTTATAGTCCCTCTCTAGTGGCTGTGGAATACAATCCGGCACCAGAACTGTATCAGATCCGCGACTTTGTCCATCCTCACACAATCTTCTGTGTCCAGGAGACAGAGTTGAACTTAATCTTTGCTCTTTCTAGAAAAAAGAATCAGAGATGTTTATTTCTTTACATTTCTATGATGGTTCAGATCAGTGATCCCGAGACTTAGCTATGTGCTAGAGAAAATAATTATAGCTTAATGCGGCTGCAGTTAGAGCTCAAGTCAGGATAGTTTCTCCCTCCTCATATGCCAAAGGTTACTACATAAAGGTATGAGGGACAACCTTTTAAAAGTCTACTATGACCTCCATTCAAACTGAACAAGAAACTATTTATGATTTTTTAGCAGCTCTCCCACTGTCTCATGCTAAAAGACTAAGCATCAGTGATGTTCATTACTTTGCAAATGTGTGGCTTGGTCAACTGGGTGAACAGGACTCAGCAACTACCTACTTCTGTGGGGTTTTAATCAGAGGGTTAGAGATGCCTTTATTGTATTCAAATGCTTGAATATAAACCACAGCTTGTCCTTGACTGACTGATTCCCTCAGCCTTTTTTCTTCCCTCCTTCCCCCCCAAATCTTAATGACAGATAAGAATAAACTTCAGGGAAGGGTATGATAGACTGAGGAGGAGGGAGAAAGATGACATCTGCAAGGTTTCAATAACCCCAGGTATGCTTTGTAATTTCTGTATCGAAGTCGCTAATTAGTTCTATACCATGTGTTGAAAGAAGCTTCACTTAAGTGGCTAGATGCCTTATTTCCAAAATTGTTTTACTCTACGCTCCTGTCCAAAGGAAACCTTGTCATTCAACTCTCACAACCTTTCTGCTACAACAAGCATATTCTGATGTTTTGGACAGAAGTACATACACTCTTCTTGTTGCAGCACTGAACTACTTTCCCTCAAGAGGTATAACAGTGTCCCTAGATACCCTATTTATTATTAGTATAATTCTTTTATTTTGGATATTGCTACTGCTGCTACTTAAGTATGCATGATGTGTGTACACAAACACATACATTAAAATTAAGTGAAACTTACAGACAGTAGAAGTGCTTTTTCTGGAATGCATGCATTACAGTCATCAGAAATATGGCCACTAGATCTTCTTTTCCTTTTCTCAGAATCAAGAGAGGCCAATTCCTTCTTAGTAAGAGTGGTGCTGTTCACGTTTCTGCTCCTCTTTTCCAGTTCATCACAGTTCCTGTTTTCTGTGTCAGGGAAGAAAAAAAAAGATTTAATGGATTCTCCTTAAAAAACTTTGTATTTCTTGATATCTGTTAGGTCTTAAATAAAATGCATGGAAGCAGATACTTTCCACGATAAATTCTTTCCTTTTTTAACTGTGTGCGGCTGGCAAAATATATTCCCTAAAATAGTTAAGGGAAGATTATTATTGCACAATTAGTTAAGGTAAGGATATAACCAAATTCATAGCTCCCTTCAAAGTAAGAATTAGCACTCCATACTCCACAGTCTTTCTTTTATCTTCTGCTGGATGCAATATTCTCCATTTCCTGTTCTAATCTGCAAATATTACTAACTAGTATTAAAAATACAGTATGTTTCTCCTAGAGACTCAGTACACAGCTCATAATTTTTCTGTAGTAAATACAAATATTGCCATATAACATAAACATTTTAGCAAGGTCCACAAACCATTTGAGCATTTTTAATGTATTACAATCTTAAGTATAAACTTTTTATAAAATCAGGATTATAATGGTGCAGTGAGGCTTCCCTCAGTTTCCTTTTTCTTCCACAGATCTGATTCACCATCTTTAATCCTATTTAAAAACAACTATTTGATGTATTTTACCATACCTATAAAAAATGCATTTTGAGGAAACACATACACTGAGTCCAATGCCTATTTTATTTCTGTGCTCTCCTCGTAATACTAGACTAAAAAAAGAAAATTTCCCAACACTCTCCAAAATTCATATTTAAGTACTAGATTATTGCTCACTACAAACCTTTCTTCTGCAGCTCCCATCTTCTAAAAGTGAAGACATTATTTTTTTCTGGTTCCTTAGAAGCCTTGGTCAATTTACACAGATCATCTGTTTTTCTCCGGCAATGCTCAGACCTGTAAAGAATATTAACTATGAGTTATCTTAATTTTGAAAGAATACCGAAGAAAAATCCCAACAGAAGCAACAGTCAGTTAGACCACAAACTCTCGTAAGTCTCTCTCATAAGCATGTGGAGCTTGGCAAATGAAACAAACTAATTCAGTTCCCATGACTGAAACACATAGATACTCTGACATTATTAATAAAACAGATGTTTCTAAAAGGCACAAAGAAGGAAAATCTTACATGCTTGACATCAGACGCTGAAATACTATTCTGCTGTAAAGCATGACTGCAACAAAAACACATTAAAAAAAAGGAAAGCAGTCAGTTGAGTGTATCCTTGCCTTTGTCATCAATACAGTGGGAATAAGGCAATGTATATATTTTAAATTTAGGTTTAGAACTGCTAATAAAATCAAGTAAGTTCCTGCAATGAGAGAAGATTTAGAATAGAAATTCCTGCTCAAAAGCGCCTCAGGGGGGAAGACACGGACACATGAATGAGGAAGAAACAGAAAAGAAAGAGAAAAGGATTACAGTATGTGAAACTAGGCAACCTACAGGTGTTCAGCTGAGTTTGGAGTTTCATTCTAAAAAGGACATGCAAGAAAGTAATCAGGTTTTTTTATTTTCTAGCTTTTTTGTAAGTAGAATAATATATTCAGGAGGTACTGATAAGACTGAACACTATGACATCCTCACATTTGAGGTCTGATCTTGTAAACATACTCAACTTCTCTGGAGGCTGGTAACAGCTGACAGAAGTCTGTATATTTTGGTTTCTAGTGTATGCATTAGGGTAATATTTAGTTATATGTTCATGTTACATTTTCTCACATGAACTTAATTACATTTACTATGCAAGACTTTCCTTCTGAAAATTTATCAGGGTTACAAGATAAAAAGAAACTAACCTTCACTACTTCTGCTTCATTTTCTGTGAGAGTTAGAAAAAAAGCAAATAAAGATGATTTCGCAGATAAAGCAATTTAATGCTGATCTGGAAAATCTGTTCTATTCCTCCTCTTGTCACCTCACTTAATCCAAAGGGGTTTTGCGTTCATTGTTTTATAATGTGCCTAGCTCAGAATATTGCACTCTCCAATTTTTAAAGAACTAAGCAATCATCACAATGACTGAAATCACCAAGAGTTGAGCCTGGGACTGTAAATACCATCACCAACCATGGGAAAGAACATTCTTAATGTGTCTAACCAGATAGCCAAAACCATTGGGACACTTTCTGAATTGGATGCCTATTCTTCAGTGCAATACCTGTACACTGGAGCATTGTTGCTCTTTGGGAATACTGTAAAGACAAATAAATATTTCCAGAGTGCTCTGATACTACAGTGATGAACAGTATATAAGCACCGTGAAAAAATTATTGATTATCTTTCCACTCACAAAGACTCCTGGATTGCACCATATACAGAAAAAGTGTTTAGTAAGCACTGTTATTCATTCTGTATATTGAACAAGACGGTCTTCAGGCAGCTCTAATTTGGGAATAACCTTACTACAGAAAACTTGATTTTGGAACCCACATCTCTCTCAACTTAAATATCTGTATGTATAACAGCTATATAGATTTGACTGCCTTAAAAGACCATACAAAACCAAACCATTAAGTGTGTTTTTTGCATTTGTTTTACACCAACATCACAATTCAGATATTTCAATGATAGGAAACATTTCAATAGGAATGTTTCAGCTAACAGACTTCCCTAAACATATTTACTCTATACACAAATTCTGCACGTTTTATTTTCACTTCCAATCTTTGCTGATAACTCCACTTAAAATGCACCTCTTAACAGTTATATGCATAAGCTAAGAAGCTATGGCAGTATATACTGAAGTGTGCTCAAAAGCCACAAGAAACAAGTATGAAACACACTGTAAAATCCTAAGTTTATTTACATTTAAGACCTACCTCAAATTCATTAGTTACACTAATAGGTTAGTGGTGACTTAAGCAAATGCATTTCACACTGGGTTGCAGTGAACAAGCAATGCAAAATCCAGCAATTCTGTAATTCCAGAAGTGAGAAAGGAGACTGGGAACTTGCAGGCAGTTCCAGCTGACAGAGAAAGGTTACCCTGTTTTAACCATGCACAGTTCTTTGACTTCATCTGAAATTTCTGTAGTACAAAACTAGAACAATTTTCACTAAAACAAAGAGGGCATTCTAGCTACTTTGATGATACAAAAGAATCTCCACATAGCCATGTGCATTTATATGCATAACCATTATAAGGGGGGAGCTTTTACTCTCCTCTGAAAGAGACCCCAAAACAATCAGTGCCAAGCCTATCTTATGCACAGACCATAGTTACAGAGAGATGACCAGGATCAAACCATGACTGTGTTGAAATAAATCCTAAATTCTTAATTTTCCATGCGATATCCATAACTCACACTAAAATGCTGGTAACTGGGGAGGGGTGGAAAACCCTCCTATTGTTGGTTCCTGCTAATAACAAGCCTTTAACTTAATATATTAGAAAAGCATATCACAAGTATGGAAAGTTATTCTTTTAAACACTGAACCACTCCAAATATAAAGCAAGTTGAGTACACCAACTACTAAAAAACCTGAGTAGTTCAAACCATTCTTCTGCTTAACATAAAACTCAAAAGCCACCCTTCAGGTATGAGCTTGAAAACACAGGCAAGGTGTTTCCTCAGATTTAGTTACACAGAAAAGTTCATGTTTTCCTCTCTATGAACCCACTACCTCCCATCATCAAAAACAATACCAAGTGGAAAAATCAGGCACTAAAAGTTATAGATCTCTTAGGATTAGATTTTGTAGTAAAACAAAAAAAAAAAACCCAACAATCCAAAGTCCCCACACTTTAGTCAGCCTAAAGTTATGGAAAACTATTTATTAGCAACAAATGTAATACTTCTAAAATTAGTCTAATAAACTGTTCTAAATCCCTCATTTAAATTGCAGCTTTGTCTGATTAATTTAAGATTCTTTAAGATGTTAATGTATCAGAACAAGGAATATGACTTACTTTTCTCAAGAATTTTAAGATTTCTTGAACCTGGGAACTGTTGATTATTCCTGCCCTCACAAACCATTCTTCTCTTCCTTCCTCTTTCTATTTTCTTCCCCCAAATTTCTTGCTATCTGCTCCTGTGGATACTTTGCTGTTAAGCAAAGAGGTGGCCATAAAAGACAAGAGGAAACAACTTACTCTGAATTCAACTGCCATCTTAGACCAAACTAAACATTACGTAATTCTAGTAATTGATTTTTGCTAGTTTTACATGTCAAGCATTACTGTGATGCTCAGTCAACCTAAACACAGGAAGAAAAGGAAAAGTAGATGTTAAGCAATGAGCAGACACACACACAGCCCTTAAACAGTGGCGCTCTCGGCATTGAGAACACTAGTGGATTAATGTGAAAAGAAATGAACTATTGCATAGAGCAATTTGGAGAAATTGTGCAAAAGAAGTTACTTGAAATCATGCTAGAACACATTAACAGCAACAGGAATGCAAGATTTCTGTTCTGGACAAAAAGAAATCAACTTAAATGTGTTTGAATTATATCACCACCTTCACAAATCAACACATTGATCTACTGTCAATGGAAATTCCTTCTATGAAAGAGAAGTAGCCTATTAACATCAGGTACAGCACATCAGAATAAATGCAATGTTAAAATAGCTTGTTGGAGCATCATGTTAGCTTACACTCAGGAAACTCATCTCCTGCTTTGACAAGGATATAACAAAAATCGTTTCAGGGAAATTCTTTTCCATTGTGAAGTTATATCATTTCAGGAAGACTGGCAAAAATCAGCAGTAAGTAACATACCTTTCAGACAGAAAAGAACCTTCATGAGGAGAACATAGTATCTGACACGTCTGTAGGTTGGCAACAGATGATGAGGGTAGCTGACCCGATTGTAACTGGTCAGCATCAGACACATTCGCATCAATTATTACGTGGCTGTCTATGTATTTTCTTCCAATTTTCGTCCTCAGGACATTCGTCAAAATAACTTTGGGTTGCCTGCCATATACATATATATATAACAGTAAATCATAAATACTGCACTGAAATCTAGAGAAAAAAACTTCTTGTTAAATTCATGTCTCTTAGAGGCTCGATAATGATCAAACATCATTACTTTCAGTCCCTTAGAGACAAAACAAAATGCCAATGAGGAACTTAAAATGCAAGTTAAGCAAATAAACACAAAAAAGCAACAAGAGACCAGGGTAAGAAACACTAGCCATATAATTTCACCTTAGACAGATACAATTCACATTGCATTGCCTCTAACACCTCATCTAAGTATTGTTTAAAAAAAACTGGTAGATGTTTATCTCTAGATAGCTTTCATGCAATATCTGTACACGTTTCTCAGAACTATGGAGCAAATAATCTTGATTTTCCTGTGATCAAGAAGCCTCCAGTAAAATAGACTGAATTTTCTCAAGCACTTAATCAACAGGTAGAAGAGTAGCACACACGCAAAAAGGTAGCATTTCATTTTGTTCCCATCCTCAACTTTCAGGTGGCATTCTACAGAATAGCAATAGCAAGGCTCAGAAAAGCATCTGCAAGTGTTAGAAGAGACAAGCATCAAAAGTAAGGCAAACAAATATGAAGATGCAACTGCCCACTTGAGCACATATGTGTAAGATGCACAACTTAATTCATACAATGCCACTGCAGACGGCTTGTTATACAGCCCTTTATTTACTCACTTAGTTTTTCAAACTGGGATTTAAATTCTACCACTTCCATTGCATTTTATTTTGGATTAGGATGTAATGTCATGGTCTTTTCTGAATCTGTTATGAACAATATGGTCTTTTGGGTATCGACTGTGTGGTTCTCCTGTTGTCTATATTCATCCACAAAGCACACTCCAGCACAGACTGTGTGATGTCTGGGGGGCACTTAGGTCTCTTGCATGGAGATGTAATTTGCTTTTAATCAGGAGACCACCTTACAGACAAGATGGTAGATGCACACGGGTGATAAGCAATGAGGATATGATTGAGAGAAAAAGTCTAATACAGAAGAACACTGTAGTCTTGTCTTAATGTAAACTCCAATAAACAAAGCCCCTAAACTGTTTAACATCATGAGCTCAGAAAGAAAACTCAGTAAAAAACCCATTCACTCTAGCCATACTTTTCCCTGGGTATCTGCAATTGACTGCTGCTTGCGGCCAGGGGTGGCAGGGCAGAAGATACCAGACTTAATATGCTTTTCTTTTGACCCTTTATGACAGTTCTTGTATTTTCATGAGTAGTCAGACTGTTAACAGTGAAAATACACAGTGAAAACTCCACTGAGAAAAGAGGGCAGTTAAATGCAAGTGCACTCTTCTTTTCACATGAATAAAAAAAAACACCAAACATTTTGAGAGTCCAATAGCTGAATCAGAATTAATTGGTCTTGTCAGTACAGGACCATCTAGAAGAAATCTGATCTGAAAACCCACTACAGCATGCCTGACACCATCTCTCTCGAGGATTATCAAAAGGAACCAGGGAATTCAATCAAGCCAGATGACATGAGAATGGCAATATAGTTCATGAACAAGACAGCCGTGATACAACAAAGAATACTTTCTCATGAAAAAAAATCAACTGCAAGGAAAATTATTTTTAGTGACACAAGGCAAAGACAACATACCTTTTAGACAGAAAAAGGCTTTGGAGAGTAGGGTTTAAAATTTGCCATATCTTTAGACTGGCAGCAGATGATGAGGGTGGTTGATCTGATTGCAGCTTGCCAGCATCAGAAAAATTAGCACCAGTTTTAGGTTGCGCCTGTGTGTATTTTCTTCCTATTTTCGTCCTCAGGACATTCGTCAATATAACTTTAGGTTGCCTGCCATACATATAATAATAAATTAATAATAGGGTGCTAGAACTTCTTAAGTCACATGAATTCAACAAAGCTTTTCTACAAGTTTACTGTCTCTGCATCATACCTTCTATCTTCAGTACAATTAAGTTCACTTCCCTGACAATTTACAAAGCAGCTCTCTTTAGAGAAGAGGAATCACAAACACATCTCTTGGTTAGGACAGCCTTTCAAGGCTTCTTCTTCTTCTGGCATCAATCACCAACACATCCATATGTGATTCTGAAGAGGTAAGCTTCCAGTGTAGAAGCATGGAAATTCCAGTGCATGTTTTTATTGCAAAATGTTGGAATTAGTCACTACAGCCTTACACACTGTTCTTAAAGTGTACACTTGAGCATTTGCAGGATATTAAAACAAGCACTCAATATTATGGCATCTTATTTTAGAACCATGAATATTATTGGTTTCCATACCACAAATTAGATTATGATCTTGCTGGAAAATAATCTAGAGCTAGTACAATCTGTCAGTTTTGAAGCTCCAACTGATTTCTATTCAATTTCACTACAGAAATGACATACAATTATGAATTACAAAGTTAGTAAAAACTCCGCATTGAAGTTCTTCAAACAAGTATCTATACTTTGCTGACTCTGCCAGATTGGTATTGAAGTCTTCACATACAGAATTAACTCTGAAGCATTACCAGTAATTTGGACAGTTTCCTTGTAAGCCAATAAGCATTATGTATCACAGATTATTTGTCAGGATTGACTTTTTTTGAACAGGTGATAATTGAACTTATTTTCCCAGGACTGGTCCTAAGATGACACTGAACTTCAGGCTCATTTGTTGGTTTTCAAAGATTACTGAGGCAAGAATTACTTTTTCAATTGCCCGTCTTGCATAGCAAACTAAATTGTTCACACTGTAGAGCAAGAATCCTTCTTTTATAGCTACAGAAAACCCTTTTACTACTCACAAAGCTGATACATATATGCTACAGTGACATTTCTTAAGCAGATGGCTGCTATTCCTCAGTGGGTTGACAACTGTGCAAGCAACTTCTGGGAAATTATAGTTGTCCCACTGACATGCTGCATTCAGCTCAACAGCATGGTTATGTGGTATCTAGTAGTAAACAAATAGGCATGGCACAAAAACTGCTGAAGAACAGATACACTTGAACCTAAAAATAGGTTTGTAACAGCCATGCTAGAAAAACATGTTGAAGGTGGGGAAGATGTTTCACATAATCCTTATACTTTACTCTTTCAGTAGTTGCTGCATGTTGAGATTTCCCTGTTTACTTATCACATTAACAAGACACTTGACCCCTCACTGAACTTGAAAAGACAGCAAGGTTCCTATGCACAGCTTGGAGAACCTGAATATAAGCTATGAATGCTGGTCAGTCTTATCAGATCTCTGCATCACTGAATACCATGAGGTGTATGCAATGAGCTGCTTTATCTTAGAGCTCTGCTATGCATTTCCTAGACCAGTGGTCTCCCAACTTTTTTTGATCATGCACCCCTATAAGTAAAAGTATTTTGAGCACACACCTTCAACATGTTTAATTATAATTTATATAGCTATACTAATGTACTAACGTTATGCACATTATAAAACACACAAATGGAAATTTTAAAAAGGATGTTATAAAGATGAAACTAACATTTATTTATTAATTGTACAAAAAAAATAATTCCTTCCTGCACTGCAGTGGAATGTCTTACACACTGCACCTTGGAATCCACTATCTAGACAATGGACAATAAACTTACATGGTTCTCATTCAAAGCTAAGTAACTTAAATTCAAGTGAAGGCAGTTTCCTCCAATCTCTTGGCTTCTCTTAAAAGTTTCTCAAAGGAAAACTAAGTGGTAAAGAGCTAAAGCTTTGTCTCAAAAAAAAATATATATATATATATACACTGAGGGATTAAAAAATATATACTGAGGGATTAAAAAACACCCCCTAAGTTAAGGCACTCTGATGCCAAGAATCTGTAAGGGATGGGTACTAATTAGCTGTTGGAGAGTTCCCGGAGTGAGAGTGACTCTACGAAGGCAATTAGAAGTCATATGTACAAGGCCAGTCTCATCAGAAGATTAACCTAAACCACAGTAGTGCTCCAGAATCTTTTAGCAGAGTCAGGAACAAGGAGGTACACATTTGTTCTTTTACCCAGACCTGTATATACTCTATGACTACTAACGCAAAGAACTGTTCTTTTTAAGAACCTACTACAGAGTCTGAGCACATGCTTTGAATACCGTAGACCTAAAAAAGTTTGTTCTACACTTCAAGGATCCAGAGACTAGAGCTTCATTTAAAAGATACGCTTTAACTACTGAAAAGCTTAGAAAGTAAATACAGGTCATGAGGGACAGTTCACTGACATTAATGTCTTACATGGTGGAGCCCAACTGCAGCAGCCCAGTGAGCATATACCAAGCCTGCAAAGTGTTCTCGATTTAGCATAGGAAGCAAGAGACTTATTTTCTACAGAAGTCCCCACTAAATCAGAAGTCTAGCTTTTTTTCTGGGCTTCTCAAGCATTCAGAGTTGATGTATTAACCGTAGCTTAATGTGTCAGAAAAGCTTACAGTGACTAGACTTATACATCATTTGTTGTTTGTCCAAATGTAAGGCATATTAGACATACAGAATATAAAAAGTACTGAAGGAAATAAAAAATATATACATTTAAGAAATGTGATTAAAATTCAAAATTCAGCTTAATTAGACAGTTAAGAAAATGTATAATTTAAAGGTTAAAGGCAATTTCAAGGTAAAAGTAATCAAATAACTTATGCAAATTCACCTTATGAAATTAAGACCTTTACTCTTGTGCTTTAATTTCCTCCTTAAAGATAAGGAATACCCAAACTACTTCAGAGGTCCAGTTACTAAAGAACTGTAGTGGAAAGACATTTCAACTTTTAGGATGCCACAAGAGATGAAGCAAGGAAAGACTAAGCCATATACTTCCCTTCTTCCTCTAACAGGACTTGAAATTACAAATCAAACCTCAAAGTATCTAAATGGCATTTTTCCTCCAAATACAAAACAGTTGCAGAAGTGGGCCCTAGCAATATGAAGATGTGAATCAGAAATTGTTTCTTCTCAAAGCGTTTTAAAATCTTTACTCTAGAGCACCATGAGACAACATAAATGCATTATTCTCTACGGAACAGTTCAGTTCTCCTGACTAGAATAGCCCAACAGTCTATTTCCCAGATCTCAATTCTTTCAGTTTTCATTGTTACACCTTGTAGAAATGTCAGATACCATGATGAAATTTTACTAAATGTAGCCTGAACTTGCACAGTAGTTAGTCCAGTGGGAACAATTGTGGTCACAGAGTCTTTATTTTAATTGTACGATCAGGACTTGTAACAGAGATTCCAACCTTTAGGGTCTTTAACACCACCATCATGGCAGAGAAAGCCCACAGCAGGAGGCAAGAGTCAGAAGCAGAATTTCCGGTGAAACTGGATTTCATGACCTATAGTTTGCTGGTCACCTTGGAAACTCAGATCTGACATCCTTTGCTCACATTCACATCAGGCTAGACCTTGACAGGCTCCAGGCCCCTCCATAATTTGGTTTACCAACTGTTATTAGGTACAGAATTTGTAATGTTCCCCATTCCCGATTTAATGAAGTTTACACATTTTCAGCAAGTATCTCTGTAAAAATGATCTTACAATTTAAAGCACACAGGCACCCATGCAACTAGGTTTGCACTGGAAGCCTGTTGAAAGGAGAGGAACCTTCAACAAACAAAGAAGAAAACAGTATAAATTTGGCTATTCTTAAAGATGTCAGTGCCAGGCTAAGGCGTCACTTCTTATTTGGCACCAGATTTTGACTGAAGACCTTGATAGGACAGCTTGTTACAACCCGATCTTCAGAGCTGCACAGGGCCTTCAGATCTTTCAAAAGGCTTCCCTTTCTAAAGGAGGAATGGCATCTGGCAGCATTTCTTGAAAAAGTATGTCATTAAGACTGGGCATAAAATAGACTCAGGAAAAAACATCTCCACTTAAGACAGCCTGTACATCTGTAAATTATGGTTGGGACACCGATCCCTAGATTACCTGTTAAATTGTCCACAGAATAAATTGAGCAAATCATGCAAAAGACATTTCAAAAGATAAAAAACTAGTGTCAAGCAGAAAAAAAGCAAGCAAAGCACTTAAAAGCAAGTCCCACCAGCAGACACAGCAAGTAACTTGCCTAACAGTAAGACTGGAGGCATCTTGATTAAGGAAAACCACAGGTGATTATTTTTGTTTTTAAAGCAAGCACCTACTGCTTGCTACTACTATCCCCTCTTATCTACCTCCACAAAACAGAAAAAAAATATATAAGCAAAGGTAATGAAAACATACTTACACATGTAAGGATGGAACAGATAAAAAAACAGATTATTATGCAAAATGCTGTTAGCTGCTCCTGGAAAGTCTCATATCACTTTTCATGGGCAAAAAAGGATTACCCTACCTTACAAAGTGAAGGACCAAAAGATATTAATTGTTAGTACCTCTTTGGAGAAAACATTTGACCTCTATTTCACCCAATACTCAGATCTGCTAGATCCAGTTCCTTTCCCAGTGATCATAATTGTGTACACACTGGTGTTGTAACCACAGGCTCACATTTCCTCAAATTTATATTAGAAAGTTATCAAAACGAGACCCAGAGGCTACTGACTCCTTTTGGAGTAAGTTATTGTTAATTGTCTACACCACCATCTTCATGCCTACATTCTTCTACTAGTAAACCCAGTTTTTGGGAAACAAAAACTTTGACAGTAGGATGCCACATACCCTGTCAAAGTCACCCTGTCAAGTCCCATACTGAGTATTTGTCCTCGGCTTACAGAATAAAGCCACTGGTAGACTTGATGTGTACTTGCCTATCTGAGCTTCTGCAGCACGTGCACAGCTTAGGAGGTCCTTGGCCTTTCAGAGCCCAAAGGAATAACACGATGCACTATCATTAACGGGAAACTCTGATTGCCACATTCACTGACTACACCCTGTTGAGAAGAGAGCCTCTCTCTGTCGTCCTCCTACTTCAAGGCCCTGACCTTTTATCAGCTGATCAGAAGTCAATGTTTTAACACCAAACATGAACATCCTTACTAACCTTGCTTTGCTTTGTCACAAAAACCTGACTGCAACAGGGTCAGTACTTGATTCAGCCGTGACATGTATTTCAATTATCATTTAAAACACTGAGCTGAAAAAAAACCCACACACATCTTATTTAAGTACTCCTCCCACCCTCCCCCTAAAGAAAACTCGACAGACCAGGACAAGAAACTTGAATTTCAAAATAATGTCCCAGTTTGTTTCTTTTTGTTTGTTTTATTCCTTCTATTTCTCTCTTGGAGAATGTAGGAATAATACAGCTGAGATAAGTGGACACCTCTAAGCTCTGCTTCCAGGTGGCGATAGCTACCCTTGAAATACAGTGTTATCCCCTTCCTTGTCAATAAAAAAAGTTTTGTAGTTGTGATACAAAACATTGACCAATTACATAAATACCCTAGCTACCTTTCTGCAATGACACTAATAAATTGAACTATTCATATTTCATGACAGTCCTGATCTGTTTTGTGACACAATCAGAGGAACATGTAAGAGACCTCCAACATACAAGAAGTACTAGGGAACTAACCTGCCTAGAGCCCTGTTGGGAATCATAAACAAATCACCTGCCAGTGACCTTTCACAAGGCCACCAGCAGAGGTGTTTAAGTGAGAGCAGGTGTGGTTGATGCTTCCAGCCCCCATGGTCTCACATCAGCAGGACTGACAGAAGCAATCCACTACCAACTTTTGTAATCCAGAACTTTGGTTAAAAACACAAGTGATGGTGGGTTTGTGCTAATACATCCACTTTGTCCTTTCTCACTAAGATTAAGTGGCAATAACAATGCCCAAACAATACTTGATGATGAAACATGCCTCTCTAAATGTTTGAGATTAACTCCCATCAATAAATACTGTTTTTAAAACATCAGGCACTAACAAGAGTTTGCCATTAAGACTTATTTTCTGCTTTTCAATGCAAATGAAAAATTCCTCATTCGGAAGGAAGAACAGAGAAACTTTTGCACTGGTAAGATTCTTGGCAAGGCACTTCACACTTACCTCTTCTGGGTTTTGTCAGTTCTCAGACTTTTGCTCAACCACCTTTTCCATGCCCTTTATGCTTATTATGCAAGGAGTTCAGTGTGTCGATTTTGACTTACTGAGGAATACTACGTACTTAGAATAAGCTTTATTGCAGACAGTAGATTAAGTTTATTTTACAGAGAACCTCCAGCTAGTCTCTAGACACACATCTTTTTTTGAGGAAGTGAAAAATGTATAGGTTTAATATCTGAATATTTACCATCTTGTTACAGTCTAAACCATTTTGCACTACTGTGCAGGTAAGAATTTTGGTAAAAATGATGGAACACCTAAAAATACTACTTGAAAGTCTCTCACATACCCAAATTAACATATGTAACAGAAAATTAACATATGTAAAAAATCCAAAAGGTAGCTTTTTTGTTTAAAGCTCCTCAACTTTGGAGGTTGTTGACTGACAAAAGGTCAGTACAAAGTTTACTTAAAGACCTTTAGATATTGATATCAGATATCAACCATGTCACAGCATTATTAAAACTCAGGAAACTGCAATTAACGTAACTTTTAAATTCTGCTAGGTTGACCCTGCGAGCCACTCCCTCAGTTAAGGCTACTGACAGAAGCATTTCAAGGTAATTACATGTAAAGCAACAACTACACCTCTGAGGAGGTATGAAAAATAAATTCAGAATCTTTTCTAAGTTCAGCTCTTCCCCACAATTCTGTTTGAAGCATTCTGAATATAAAGACCAGGCTAAACAATGACTATTCATAGGTCACAAAACCACTGAATTCAGCAGCATCAAAGTCACCTGCTGCCATTAAGCATTTTCATTTACCTGTGCACTTTGTTTTTAACAGCCCCTCCTGACAAGAAATCACTCATCATCAAGTTAAGTTCCAGTCAGAAAATGGGGCAGAGAAAGCATACTCTCATTTGCTTAGATTTAAATGATTTGTGGAATAACAATTGCTTCATTAAGATAAACATAATTAATTTCATCATGAAGTCATTATGCTTCCTAGCTGTTGTGAATTAATCTAATTCTACATTTTCATTTCCATTCGTCAACTATGGCACTTAGCTTCAAAATTTTCTTGGATAAACAATTATCCAGCTGACAGCTTTACAGAAGATTATTTTAAATAATTTGCCATAACCCCAAAGAAACCAAAATTTTTTTCTCTTGGCAAGAGAGCATAAAGTGGCAGCACATCAGCAGTCTTATTTAGTCACTTAGGTGTCCATACTATCAGATAGAGGTGAAAGACCTCTAGTTTTTTTTTTACTGCCTTCCCCTATTAATCATCATATTTCTTGGGAGGGGGGGAGGGGTTCTGTTGTTTTCAATAGTTGATGAACCAGTTTAATGACTGTGGACTACATAGCAAAAAGTGACAAGCAAAAGATAATCTGGGAAATTTCTTAAATATCTAAAAAAAAAAATCTAGGGCTAGAATGATTACTTGGAGAGTAATGAACACCTTTTAGGATTCCAAGTAGGTCAACAAGCAGCAATACCTCTAAGTGTTGCATTCCCATTCCGATGTAGCAGTTTTGTGTTGTGTTAAAACAAAGAAAAAGTTATGGTTGCTTCATAATTCACAATGCCATGAATACACTGAAACATGATTCTCTGAAGGTGGGCTACCTAACAGCTTGAAAACCATCTCTAAAAACTAATTAGCTAGAGACCAGTGATCATAATCTTCAAGGAAGATTATGAAACTCTGAATATACAAACAGAGGAACTAATTTTGAGATGACTTCTTACCCAACTGAGTCTTCATCATTAGAGCTGTGCCTGTCAGAGTCCTTTCGCCTTTTTCCTTTTGTGGAAGGGTCTCTGTTGTTGGCACTTAATTTCCACTGAAATAAAACAAATAAAATTGGCAGGTTCCAACAGACATAAATATGTCATAATGGATATTACACTAGAAAAAGAGAACAATGCCAGATGTTGAAACAATGCAACTGATCAAGTAAAGCAGAGCCACAAAGGGTATATACAATTTTGCAAAGAATTAATTTGCTTGATTTAAAGCATCCGTGTACCACATGATCTTGAATGGAACTTTTCTCCTCCTAAAGATAATACAAGACTACTCAATTATTTCCCTATTTAAAGGAGGACTATCCCCAACAGGGACTTAAATATTAGGTCCATTTTACATAATCACAAATACACAAGATAAATGGATGGAGTTAAAGAAAGTAGAGGTTAATGAAATTATATTCCACTCAAAGACACAAAATTCTGAAAAGGAGAAGGAATTTGAAGGTTTGGTACTTGGGTGGCAAAACCCGCAACAGGAAGACTTCACTTTTTCCAAATTCTCCGAATTACCAAAATGCATTTGTGTTTTCAAATTAAGTAAGTGAAGCCCAACCAAAACACAGTTATTTCTTCAATTCCAGACACCTACCTCCCTCTGCCATTACCTCCTCCTAATCTCTCCTCCCTTTTTTTTATATGAAAGGTAATAGAGCAAATAGATGTTTGCAAATTACACCAGGCATAAGCAGACAAATTTATCTTCAGTTCTGTTTAAGTGTGGGGTGAAGTGGCATCTGAAAAATTCATGCCAACACATATTTTACATACTTTAGCACAGTCTGAAAGGTGCATCCCAAATCAATCTTTTCCCTACCATAGGGGCCAACTTCATAATGGAAAATACCCTTGTAATTAAAACAGCTGACAACAAAAAAAAACCTTGCCTTGAAGGTGCTTTCCCCTCTTCCTGCCTTCAAACATAGAACCATAGAATCATAGAATGTTTTGGGTTGGAAGGGACCCCTAGAGGTCATCTAGTCCAACCCCCCTGCAGGAGCAGGGACACCACTAACTAGATCAGGCTGCTCAGAGCCCCGTCCAACCTGGCCTTGAATGATTCCA